GAGTATATTTAGTGCATGGTCAGGGCCAAAGTCGTGCCGAGGCGATGAGATGGAAGACGGTGAACCGAAAGCTAGTAGCTACAATAACAACTGCTGATGCTAACTGTATGGAGTATCTCAAAAGGCCGAAGGAGCCATAATCCGGGATAAATGATTCCTCAAGTTATGATATGAAACTGCAGTCAAATCAGAAGCATTACTCCATGTAGCAGTTGTAGTCCAAGTTGTTGCATGCCTGGAGAAACACACATCGAGATCATCGTATCCACTCATACCTCAAGAGACATCAAAGAAGCACCATAGAGGTGAGGACCATTTCTACAGAGCTGGGGATCGTAATAAGCTGAGCTCAATATGACTTGTGTCGATTCAGCTTTGTATATTGCGAGTGGTTGGCGTATGATCCGACATAATGAACACTTAGAGTTCAATTCTTGTTGATTAAACTTGATACCGTTCTAGTAAGAGTTCCTAGGAAAGTCGTTCATTAATAATACGCCGACCATTTGGTGACATCTACGTTGAGTTGGGGGACTCCACGTAAGCTTTGTTTAACCACGGTCTATGGGCAAGTTCTGTTCATATTGAAAGACACACTGTCATATAAACCAAACTATCCATAAACAAATACTGATACTGGGGGTTAGAATTGGGCTATTGTCTTGAAACCAGCCTGATGGTGCTTCAGAACCTGACGGGGCCATACTCGTCAAACCTGAATCTAAATAAATCGTGATATTTTGAAAATTGAGTCAATTTGGTTGTATATCCCGTTTATTGTAGAGTCTCATGAGGGCGAGTATATGCCCCAAATCATAGGGATCTTTCGTTCTGTAGTGATCACATTAGGATCATATCATCACCAGCATGGGTGTTACATGTTGTCAATATAACTAAGGAAAGACCCGAGTGCGTAATTAATAATACAAGTAGAACGAAGGAATTCGAAATCCGGGAGAGCGACTAGTAACAGGTAATGAACGCGTGACATATGTGCCCAAGATCATGGTTTACATATTGATTACGTGCCATGACTTTGTGCAACAGGATTTGAAGTCTGTGTCATGTCATTAACGAACAATGAGGGACGATTATTGCTACAATAAGCTGTCTGTTGGGATCAAGGTAACTTTACGCAGTTCCTTATTTGAGAGGAATGACCGAGTCTCTCAGGAATGAGGTTCAAGCCCTGACTAACGACGATCAGTAGAGAGATGGTCTATATAATCACACCGCACACTGCCAAGAGAAGTTGATGCCATGACTTGGTGGTAGTCTGTGAATTAAGATGACGGCGCACTGTCGTATGCTTGCCCCGTCAAATATCCAAGCCCCTGAGACGGGCTGTTCTCAGCAAGCATACCCGGTCAGGGGGAGCAACGAATGACTGCAACATATGCTAAGAAGACATTATCAGTAGCCTTGAAAGTCTGGTAACGGCAATAGAAATGGTGTTCTTCCTTCGAGTTGTGTCTCAAAACGAGGTAGCCGCATGCAATACGTTACGATCATTTGACTGAACAATCACGTAATGGAACCGTGGTGAACGCCAAATGAACATCATTAAATCATTATTATGAATATGCTAACCAGCCGTGCCAGTTTGTCAGACGCTCCGCCCTCGTCATGGACAGATATGCACTATCCTCAAGCCTATCCTGAAGTTCCTTGAACTTTGGCGTGGGTGCTTTTCTCTCAAACAAGATATCCAATTCGAGGAATGTCAAGTTCCTCGTCTCGGGTAATCTGATGTAACACCATATCAGACAGAAAAAGCTCGTTCCTGCGTAGAGGAAACATGATGCGCCGCCAATGTTCCAAGCAGATGGGTTGAGCATCTTGGGCATGATGATGTTGTTGAATATTAAACAGAGGTTATATGTAACTCGTGCGAGAGCAACAGTTTTGACTCGCAGTCGGGTAGAAGGTATTTCGGCAACCACGATATAACAAACGGGGCCGATGGTCATGTCGTAAATAAAAGTCATGGCGATGATCAAACCGCCCAAGGTCCAGTTCGCACCGGTGCGATCGCTCAGCACCACCCATACTACGCCGCCAGCGGTCAACAAGCAGATGGGGGCGAGCAATCCATATATATATAGTTTCCGACGACCCACGAAGGGGAGTAGGATCCAGGCAATGATACCGCCGATGATGCCGACGCCGTAGCAGGCGGTTGAGAGGTTGAAGGATATGGAGGCACTGAAACCAGCCTGTTCGAAGAAATAAGGTGCATAAGATGTGAGTGACCAGCCGCTGAATGCTTGGCAGACCCAGGCGATACATGAAATCTCTGTTCGTCGGCGATTGACTCCTTTGAAGAGATCTCGATAGCTGGCTCCTCCGTAGTTGGAATCCTTTTCCATCTTGTTGGTGTGTTTCATTAGTGAGATAGTATCCTCTATATCGGTACTATTCTTATTAGTAAGACGAGTCAGAGATCTTCTTGCCTCGTCCGTTCGTTCATGGCGTATAAGCCACCCTGTTTGCCATGTTAGTTGCATTGTGTTTAGGAGGGCGAGTTCTCTTACAAGGGCTGTCGGGCGCGAACCACACGCCGAACAACAACGGTATCGCCCACGCCCATTGAAGTGCAAAGGGAAGTCGATAAGACCATTGAGAGGTTTCATGAACGAGAGACCGGAGGATCCCGGTGCCGATAACTTGTCCGACCAGCCAGCACATGTTGATGCTGCTAAGGACAAACGGTCGCAAAGCATTTGGGACGACTTCAGCTGAGTAAGTTGCGGCAAGAATTTCAATGACACCCCAGGACAGCCCTAAGTATACGGTCAGTATTTTCCCTATAAATGTCGGGTTGAAAACATACCAGACAGAGCTTGTGACGTTAATAGAACGCCGATACTGTCGGCAAAGAATGCAGGAAACACAGCGATACACATCCAAAACAAACTGGCAAGCATCATCTTTCGGTATCCAATAAGATCTGTGATGTAACCGTGTGCCAAAAGTCCGATGATTTCACATGCAATTGCGGCGTTCTGCAGGCCCATCTGCCATGACGGCGAGATCTCGTACATCTGATCTTCAGCTGGTGTGTCCTTTGGTAGAATTGGCTCTCCATATTTCTCCCTGAATGCAGGAAAGGCAAAGAGACCAGTTACAAGTGACTTGTCATAAGCTCTGCGAATGTTTGGTTAGCTGTACGTCTGACATGATATGATTTTAGAACCTACTCCATGACCACAGTCAGGAAGAGCAATAATGACCACCCGACTGCCTTTGGGTACTGCCGACAGCATTGAAAGAATGTAGCTTCTTTTTCTTCTGCGAAGCCGCGATAGACTCGCCTCGTTGTTGAATCAGAGGCATGAGAATGCGGTAGCCATAGCGAATTGGCGAGGTCGTTTGGTAGAGATTCCAGCTCAGGCTCGCTGCTCCTGGGCGAACCTGTCGCGAACTCTGGTAATTCTGGCAGAGGAATGGGGCGTGCATCAGTGGGGATGGGGATAGCTTCGCTGGAAGGGCCCATCTTTGAGTTCGTTCTGATGGATGGTGTTGAATTCCACCAGTGCAGTCTTATGTCGAATTACGCGGTTTTCCAAGGTCGTAAGCGAGTGAGTGAGACCATGGCTGAGATTTAGACTGTCTCTCTCTTTTGATGTCTGGGATTGTTATTGACGATTCCCCAGATATTTCATGGTTGTAGTTTTGTTATGTTGATGGAGGGAGTTTCAGTCTCCAGATCCATCCAAGAGAGAGAGAGAGAATTCAAAGTTGGAACGAACATTGCCTGCCATTGCATTGTGGGGGCAGGCAGATCGATTGGTCAATGGCGATCGATGCAGAAAAGAATCAGCTAGTTAGTTAGAGGCGAAGATGAGAGAGAGCTAATAAACCTGGTGACCAACACGTCACTTTTGTGCTTGGGGTTCCTGTTCGGGCCGTGGGCCACGGAGTTTGGTGGATATTCAATGGTAATAGTTTGTATAGACCACTGGGGTTGGGGGGTTGAATAATTGCCCATGGGGGACGGTTTAGAGTCTTTTTTTACTGCAGAGGCCCTGTAAACAGGTACGCGATCATACCCAGCCAATGAGAGCTGAAGGTTACATTCTCCCATTCAAAGATAGTAGCCATGATAAACCCTTCTTTGCAGGTATAGTACTTTACCCTTCAACTCAGTAAATCACTTGATCAATTACCTACCCAGGCTCCCCCATCTTATGATTCTCAACCAGGTTCAAGTAAGCTCAAATGTGGAACTGTAAAGAATTTCAACCCACCAACATTCGCGCAAAATCTGGAGTCGGTCCGATCCCCTTACTCTACCTCGGTCTGGGTTCCCCAATAAATATCTGTCTGTATGTAACTATCTAATAAAAAGTCTGGCGTGACGGCGGCAACGTTGCCTCTAATAAGAGACGAGTTTCAATCGTACAGTCAGCTCGTGTATGGTCTAATAGTCGTAGTTCTGAGTAATGTATGTGCTTCTATGATGCAACCCACAATGCGTTGATCATCATTATTAGCCTGTAACAGCTGCCATATTCTTTCTTCTTCTTTTGTTGATGTGAGTGGTTTCCATTTGGGTTTGGCTTGGTTTAAGCTTATCAACCACGTTTTGTAGCAATTGACTGCAGCCCGCTATCGCCGATCATCCACCGTTGATGAACTATGCTTCTAGGATCTACTACGCGAAGTGACATTAATCGACGTTTTGTATATGGCTTCAAAACATTTGTTATCATTGCCAAGAGTGATTTGGCAAATGGAACTCATTCACAGCTTGTTTCCTTTGCGCCTCAGGCCGGCTGTAGGCGGGGTCACGTGCCAAGCTGTTGAATTCTCATCAACAGGGCACTCAACACCAAGCAGTCTTTGTCCCGGGCTTCAACGAATCACAGCTCATCAACATTTAGCGGAAAAGTAACGCGGCACTCGAGGACATACTCATGTTCGAGGTCTACGTGAGGCCGCGGGCCCTGCCGACCAGGCTATGGGGTGCTCAGAATAATACGATAAGGAGCTATTCAATGAGACCATCATCAAAACCATTACAACCAAAGCCGTCATCTGAAGCGAAACCACTACAACCCACAAGATTCACGTTTGTCCCAGTGTCAGAGTGGGCACCAGAGAGAGCCCCGTTACATGAGTCACAGAAAAACAAGACAGGAAGATCACCAAGGGAAAAACAGACTCCCAAAAGACCACAAATATCAAAACCGGAAGATGAACCAGAACCAGAACCAGGATCAGAGAGAAAAACACAGGAACCAACAGAAATTAACCTACAGCAGGACAAGCCAGAGTTTGATAAACGGTATTTGATTGCAAACTTGAAAGAGGAAGAAGCCAAGTTCAGGGCCACACGAGCCAGCATGACTCGGGCAGAAAGAAAGAAGGCATGGAACGACCTGGCGGGATTCTCACTGGAAACACCTTATTCAAGAAAGCTGTACGGCAAACCTCAGGATTTCAGGTTGGCCAGGAGGCTCAGAGCAACTGAGCTGATTCGGATGGTATTCGGCTATCAGCTCACTGCACGCTTAAAAAAAGAGATGGAATCCAGGGTACCGAACCGGCTTCGAGGCAGCAATATGAGAGATGTCAGACTCATATGTGTCGACACTGACAAGGCCAAGAAAATGCCCGGAGAACCAAGCAAGACCGAGTCGTTCCATCTCGGTGTGGCTATTCTGGACACCAGGGATCTCCGAGACGTCATCCGACATGGCTTCAAACTTGATAATCCATCAGATCTCATTCGAACATATCAGTTTGTCGTCCAAGACAGCGTGCCCAAAGTGGACCATTTCTGTTTCGGCGACACAGAGGCCATATCTGTAGGCGACTTGAGGCGCAGATTTGTTGAGTGGCAGGGAGGAAGAGACGTGATCGGCGTTGCATACTCGGCTCACAGCGACCTGGCCATCTTGAAAGAGTTCAACATCATCCTGAGCACAATCTTCTGGATCGATCTGGCCCTAGCACAATACATTCCATTTCAAGAAGCAACTGCACCATCGCTGGCGGTTGTGATGAACAGGCTGAGGATCCGCTACGCAGGCAAGCTGCACGAACCGGGGAACGACGCGCATTTCACCATGAGGACTCTCCTTGGACTCGCAGTTCTGGATTTCTGGCGCGAGTGGACTTATTGGGAAGATGGGCTCAGTGCTATCCCAAGCTGGTACGGCCTAGCTACAAAGATAATTAGGGCTGAGACCCCAAGACCAGAACGACATTTCTCTATGGATTGAAAGATGGAAGTTATCCTTGCAGCTCGATATGCCTGCTTTGGTTATCATAGTTCGAAAAGGCAGGATCTGATGATCACCAATACCGGTGAAGATGATGCTGCTACTACGCTGGTTATGACTGCACATCAAGATCGGTTATTATAGACAGGTCTCACCAGGTGCGCCCACACAAGACTCGCCGAAAAACTCACGAAGGAACGGGGGAACGAAGATCAATAAAGCGGTGGAAGGTACATGCGTTGTTCGAGATGAGGACCGCGATTGCAACTTAAGCGTTATCCCTCATCATCATCATCGCTAATAAGAGGCAGGTAACGCTGGCTGACGTGTATAATAACAAGGACGTCTCCCGGGGAAGATCATCCCCCAAGACTAGGTGGGAGATGATCTGACGAGACCCAAAATATGGCAAACTCAATTCTGAGCAAAACACCAGCGCAACTGTCAACTGCAAATCACATGCCGTGTATTACAGGTCCACAGAGACACACGGAAATCAGGCTTCCAAGTTCCAAGTTGGTTCCTCATCGTCGGGACTGGGCGTCGCATTTTCGTCCTTGTTCGATGTTATCTGGGGTATGGCACCACTGAGCTGGTTCAGCAGGTTTGCCACTGACAGGAGACAAGGCCAGGCTGAGCCAAAAACCGTCACCTTGTGTTGGCTGCTGGTGGTGTTCGGTGGACCCCGCCTCGACATGGTCAGATGTTCAGAGCCTGAAGAGGGAGCATGAGGCCAGGGGTTGATAAGAGGTCGACAGTTGCTGAAGGCTTCATTCCGGCAAGAGCCGAATTGCATAGACATGTTGGCATAGCATTCATATCCAGTGTCTGAATTGTATAATCTGAGATGATTTTACAATACTATTATGTATAGTACAGAGCAGTAAGTCGCAGTCAATGCAAGGCTATTGTTAGTGCTCCACATAAACAAATAAAACATCAACAAACCACAAAATCATTACCCCCAAATATAAATAATAATAGAATACATATTATTATTATTATTATCATGATGGAAAATACGTTTCATAATGATCGTATCCTCTCCATTCCCCAAGTTTCTACATCTGGAATGCCCTGGTTCCCCGGAATCGCCCGAATAGGTCAGACAGCCCAGGGGCCAGCACCTACAATCACACCACCATCGACCGACTCTCAATAGGCACTTGAGAATCCTACGGCTCATGATCAACAGCGTAAAAAAAGTTGACAACAATGTAAATTAGTATAAGAGACTTGGTCCAACTCGTCAAAATGGAGTGATTTCTCATCGTCATCGCCTTCATCAATACAATCCAGTCAAGTCCTGTCTTCTAAACTCGCCATCATCTTCAAAAGTGTCTATACCTTCACTTATACCCACTTACACAATGGCCGCCATCGCTAGACCTGCTCTCGTCAAGCCTGCCGCTTACCCCAAGTAAGTCCCCATATACTCCATGTCTCCACCAATATTCGATCCTAACAATTTATTATAGGGCTCTCCCCGTTGTCGTTGCCGTCGGCAGCTTCGCTCTCATCGCTAGCTACGTGACCTCCCAACTGGCCACCACATCAGCCAAGTTCGATCGCTCCTTTGCAAAGTACAACACTCCCGAGAGTGAAGCAAACCGAGCAAAGACCTTTGACGGTGCCATCGAGAACCCCAGGACAAGTCTGTTCAACATCCTCGGTCGACGACAGTAGATGGATGGGTCAATTGTCTACAAAACTTCATCATAAAGGATCCTAGAGATCAACTTCTGCATACGCATATACAATTTCTTCACGTTGAGCGTTCTTTATTACGTCTACAACACCGCCTGGTTACAAGTGGCGCAGAGACGGACACAGCATTTGGTGGTTGGATAATCTGGAGGGGGCCTATTACCATGGAAGTCATATACTTTGAACAATGAATAAACAGTTAAAAACTTGACACAAAATGCACTAGTTATAGCAAATGAACACGATATATCAATTCTTTTGTATTACATATAAAAATTCCGCCAGCCAGTCTCTTGCTGAGGTTGCCCTCGTTTCCATAAAGACTGATCTAGGGCCCATCCCTATCCTGTTCCTAGAACAACACTTATTCCATCCAATTCGCTCACTATGCTATGATATATGTTCTCCATATTCCTCCTTCATGTTGGACATCAAATATGCAAAAGAACGGAAAATGCCAGCGCTAGTCCTACCCAATACGCCTTTTTTGCCTAATTTCTATATACTGCACCACCCATGTCACTGCCACTAACAAGCGACTTGACTCTCCCTATTTTTACCCTACCCCGTTTTCATCCTGCCGGGAGTCCAGCTGAGTCGTGACCCCGTGTGGCTTGAAGACCGCCTAGATCTGCTTTTAGGTCCTGCGGGCGTCAACTGGTCGTCGACGGCCTCCGAATCATCCTCTTGCTGTGACGGGCTACTGCTCTCTCTGTTGCCAATACGGGATGTGAGAGCGCTGAGCTTGTCTTTGAGATTGCTTGCGCCGTTCTTCCTTCGTACCCCAGAATCGTGATTGCTCATGCTCGAAGCAGGTCGTTCGATGCCCGTCGGAATTCTTCTAAATCCGGGCCTGTGCTGTTGGGCGACAGGCACGGGAATGCTGCTGTGAGTGCTGGCGCTGTTTACACTGCTAGCATGGGAATTGCTTGGCGTGATTCCAAATGTCTGGCCCTGCTGGCCATACATGCTGTTGCTCATGCTGTGTATGCTGCTCTGTGGACTTGCGGTAGCTGGCCGCAAAAGCTCCATTCCGTGATGATGCCTGTCGTTACGATTATGATCATCTATAGGGGTTGGCGGCGTCATCATCAGGAAAGCGGGCACATTAGGGCCATGGGGAACTTGCGGACCATGACCTGTGCCACCATTACGATGCGATCTTCGGCTCTTGACACTCGAGCTTCGACTGCGTCGTCGCATAGTAGATCCTGGTCGAACACTACTGTGTGTGCTTCCGGCCCGAATACTTCTAGGAGGTGATCGGGAGAAGTCCACGGGAGATGAGCCATATAGGCTGGAGTCATCACTGTCGTTCAGACTGCCCGGGTAGTGTTGAGAGCCACCCGAAGAGGACGGTGCAATGAGGACTGAGCTATTGGCCAGCACCCGTAACTTGTCTCGCTGTTCGGCATTGGGTCGATGTTTTGAAAATTTGTTCCCAATAAGTGCACCTGTGTGCGAGATCAAGGCCTTCATAACCGCTTTCTTAAGAGCCAGGGCTAGATCCAGATTGGACCATGTCTTATTCTCCCACTGAATGTTGGGCATTCTGAAGACAAAGTCGTGTACATCCTCGATGTTGCGATTGTCTTTGCCACGATAGCTCAGGCAAAGTACCACAGAAGGCATTTTGATGGACGAGAATGTCATGTACTGGCTGGCACGGGTCATCATCTTGGTAAGGTCGTCTGACTGCTGCTTTTCATTGTGGTGTCTCTTTCCCAATCCAAAGCGTGACTTCTTATCGCCATCCCTTGACTCGCGACCTTCCCTGGAAGAAAGACCTGTGGGAGCACGTACAAGACCAACTCTTGGGCCCATGTTAGATCGGAGAGACTCATGGGATGCCTTCTTAAGCATAGTCTTGGAAGTTCCAGGAGTGCGGAAGAGGCGGAAAGAATGGCCTTCATTGCCCGTACTGACGCTCAAGGCCTTGCCAGAGGGCGCTTCAGTTTTGGTGTTGGATGTCAAAGTAGGTCTAAGTCGAAGCTCAAGAGAATTCGAGCCTGCTGAGAAAGACGACGAGGATGATTGTCGTGTGTACGAAGGTGTCAGGCCGTTGCCATCTTCATAATCCTCGTCCTCCTCTCCATCAGCCGTGACCTGCTTCAGCATGAACGGGGAGTCGTTCTTGGCGCCAGCCGACTTTTCTCCATTGATACCAGGGAAAATATACTCAAAAAGTCGCTTACCAACTTCTCGCTCTAATTGTACCTTGATGGGGAACAAATTGACTTCGAAGCGGTCCATCACTGGAATGCCTGCTATAGCCTCCAACATGTACCAATACACTCGGATCATCTCCTTGTGTTCACCTTCCTGGGTATGCGGCTTCTCAGGATCGATGTATGGTGCGATCATCTCAGGGTATGTGGCATCCGGTAACAGGTTGAGGCCAAGGACCTTACCAACACGAATGAGGTTTACATGAGAACCATCGGAATTGTCAGTACGGTCGTACTCAAGATCCTTGAGTTGCAGCTCCACCAAAGGTTCATTCGAATCTTGCATGAGATGCCAAACAATGTCTCGAATGGTAATGTTCCACTTGAGAAGACCAGTACTGTCGTCCGAATTAACATCATACTTCCTCTGTGAAGAGGTAATGGCCTTCATCATGAAGAACAATTCGTCCTCACAAGCTGCCAGATCCTTCTCAAGGTGCATTCGGTCCTGCCAGCCCTTCTTATCGAGATGTTTTGCATAGATTTGGAAATGGTCCTTGATCTCTTCCATCTGCCTGATACGTTGCTGCAGCTTCTGAACCATAGCCGGAGCACCACTTAAGTCGCTGAAGTCCGAGGCGAGGATGATCTTTTCCAAGCGCTCACTGCGGGTCTTCTCCATGGGTTCGTTGTACATGAGGAGATCAAGTACAATGACATACAGTGCATAGTACTGCGATGAGTTGCAGAGAGCTCTCGCGGTCGGGAACTCGACCCAAAGATTGTCCATGCGGTTCTCCATATTGACTTGAGAAGCGTTTTCGTTTCCGTCCGTATTCACCTCGTCGTTGTACTTCAGGCGCAAGGTATTAAACTTATCATACCGAACCATGGCCGAAGTCTTCTGGACGACGCGCTTGAACCCGAAAGGATCAGCCTGGAAGTCAAAAACCACCTCGATAGGAACCCATGGAGGCCAAGCGGAACCGCTTGGTGCACCATATTTGCTTCCAACATACATCGACACAAGGCTGGTTTGGAACCACTTGCGATGTGTGACAAAAAACTGGACGCTATCCATATTGACCAAGAATCGGCGCTGAACGAGACCGCTGACATTGTCCG